CTAAACCCTAAACCCAAAAAACAAAGAAAAAAAAAGAAAAGGGGTTACAGGTAACCTTCCCACTGCTAAGGTTCCCTTTGCCTGCATCCGCGTTGGCCTGGGCATTGAAGTCCGGGCTGGAGCCTCGAGCCACTTCTACGAAATCCAGGTTGAGCAAGTATTCCTTGATCCATCCTCCTCGGCTGTAGCGCAGAACACGGGCCGAATCCTAGACCCAGTAGGTGCTGCAAAAAGGCTTGGTGAAGAAAGGAGTTAAAGCAGATAGTATCTGCAAACCAAGCCAGACTCCGAAAGTCTTATACGCAAAATGTAACAATCGCAAGCGAGCTTCCATGTGCAGCGAGGTTGACATTGTTCACCTGATGATGGGATCAAGTGAGGCAACCCAAGTCGACAATCGACAACTGCGATGGACTGCAGCGGCCAGGTCTAACATTATACTTGCCTGGTAATGCCTCGGAAAAGCTTGCTTCATGCTGAAACAATGCATGCGGAGTTCAGAGCATCTGGCTGACTTGCTGACGTAGTGTGCTATAAGAACACTTACAGGCTTAGAGTGTTTCATGGGCCGGACGGTATTGATTTCCAGGGATCCCCAGTGTAGTCTTGCGATGAATGGTGAACTAATCTTATTCGGTTAACTGGTGGCGAAAAGAACTCGTAGTATATACTGATCACCCTATCGCGATGTCCATACTGCACTGCTTGGATTACATGTGCGTTGCGTCAGCCTGTTGAACATTGACGTTGGACGACTCGTCGACTCCAGCAAAAGCATGCACGCAACAGGTCCACATAAGGACATATGAACGATCCTCGTGCAACCGTGTGCAAACAGTTGTGTACTGCTAGGTATCGAACCTATCCACGACTTTACTTAACCGAGAATGGTATATCTTTCGCGCTTTAACGCCATCGGCCACGACACAACTACGATAAGGCACACATTGCACAAACAAGTTAATTCCAGATGATTTGATTGTGCTAAGCTGTTCTTTACTGCACGATTAGAGCTTCCGCGGCCCGGAGTCGCGCAACCATGTTGCTGGAAACCACATGGCTCTGCGAAAGGCCATGTTTCGACAGCACAGTGCGACGTAGCAGGCCAAGTGCTGCAGTTCCTACTGATCCACTGTACTGCGGCGCCTGCTGATTACACGTAACATACTTTCTGTTTCTGAGGTGCGACGCAGTACTTTCTGCGTGGAGAATAGGCACAGCACAGCACAATACTGGATGGCAGAGTACTACATGGCAAAAAAAACTACTGCCGGAATGCAGTTTAGATCATGCATTTTCCAGAACACAGGACAGTTCAGTCTTCTGCAGCTGCCATACTGGATGGTATGGCACAAGACACAAAGGAAGCAAACGGCAGGAGCGCCGAATATGGAATTACGAAACAATTGGGTGGCAGCAAGCAGTGTACGATACTCAAATGAAGCGCTCACACAGACTAGAATAGTGAGCAATTTCAGCAGTCTCTTAGATTTGAGCAGAATGCCCGATGGTGCAACAGAAAGTAAAACAACCGCAACCTCAACCCTGCCCTCAAACTCCCATATCTACTGCGTTGAAGGTTCTGATTCATTCGTAGGGACTCTGCAAGAGATTGGTTTTGTACCCTAAACCCTAAACCCTAAACCCTCCTCTGTTACAGCAGAGTGGCGGCATAGATCCTCGGATGGCAGAGACGTTCCAGCAGAAGTAATTCCTCCTGCATGAGCACCTGCGCAGAGCCACGGTTTTGGGTTTAGGGTTTAAGGTTTCGGGCATGAAGCCCTAAACCCTCAACCCGTTGATGCAGGAGGTTTTTCTGGAAACCCCCGCTTTCCGTGTAGAAAAATTACATTACCGGCCAGCACCGTTTAGTTTCCCTGAATAATTGGAATAGAGCTTTCCAAAGCAAGCGCATCCAAGACTACAAGGTGGCACCCTGTAGAATGCTTTTGTTTTTTAAAGGGTCGTTCTCAGAATTTGGCAAGGGTTCTTGATGGGGGTCTGATATAGAAGCCTGTCTAGCTAAAATGAGGTTTGGCAGGTAATTATATTCTGATATCACTGTGACGGTTGTGAAATCCAACAGGCTTTGGCCAAGTACACAGGCGCACTTGCATGTTCTTGCTATAGTTATAGTTATACTACCCCATTTTAGCAGACCGTATAACTCCACTTAAAACTACCCATGAACCTCCAAGCACCTGGTAACCCTGAACCCTAAACCAACATGCTTTGGTCACAGACGCACCTGGTAATCTGGATCTAAAACCACCAGGTCTGCATCGCGTGGGCAAAGCAGCTGCAAGCAAGAGGCCTCCTCAAGAGTCCTGCCGACAAGGGGTTCTTGCAAAGGGCTCCGTTTTAAAGGATACTACACAGTAAGGGTACTATAAGGGTGCCTTATGACAGGATACTATAAGGGTACTAGAGCGCGCCACATGCATGCATCCTGAGTGAAAAGTTATCTGATGCAAGTTGAACTGTAATCCAAGCCTACCAAACAAACCCCGGTGCAGACGGATCCCTCCTATCTTAGGATCCCAAAGTCAGCCAGCCCCGATTAAGAAACTTCACCGCAATCCTCAAACCTCAACCCTAAACCC